ACGAATAAGCTAAGCAAATAACCCTAAGCTCACAAGGAAAAGTATTGGAGGAGAATACAAGACCACTTAACACTTTACGAGCCAATCAATCCGTTGCATGATTCACCTCCTGATCATAAGCATGCCTAAAGACGATGTTAAGGTTGAACACGGAAGATAAGCTAAGGCACTCCTTGATCCTTGATGATGTTCTCCAATCTCCAAGGGGTCATAATAAGCTTAGAGTCTCCTTCAATGATGATGAGCTGATGTCTTAAATGATTTTGATGGTAGGAAAGAACATAATATATGTCCCCATGAATCCAAACAATTTATGGAAAAAAATGTCTTTTATTGATAATTAATAGAAATAAAAATCATAAAATATAAAATAATTATTTTTTAATCTAATTTCTTTTGGCATTAGACACTGTGGGCTCAATGGTGGGGATAAAACAAAATGTATGCTAAGCCCCTATAGATGCGAGGTTTGATCCCGTCCCAATTCAACTACGAGTCATTTGGCTAAATTTTTTAATTGCATATAATTAATCTTTTAAATTTTCTATCACTAAAGCTCGGTTTGAAAGGAATACAAATATAAATATGGACAGTATAAATACATTGAAAATAATACAAAATACATGATTTTGTACTCTACATATTTGCATGTGTACTCCTTTCAAACGGAGCCTAAAGATTTATTTATAAACTAATAGACAATCTCGATTTATAAGCATTTTAAGGAACTTTGAAGAGGGGAAAAAAGTACATGGAGTATATTTTGATATAAGAAGGTGAATATTTCTTCACTATACTACATGCTGCCTTGAAGTAGATCTATAAAAATTCAATTGGTGAAGTAGTTAGACAAGACCACCGACCCGATATATGTATGACTGACCAAGGTTTAAAAGAAATAAGACCTGATATAGAACTGTTTTGGCCACCTGTTCTCAGGTCAAATGGTCTGATCATCCGATTCAAACGGATGGTCCGTTCTGATTAAAAAAAAAATCAATAAAACATTGTCTGGATCGACAGGTCAAATGATCAAACTGCTTGGATCAGTAGATCGCTGACTAAATCAACAATTTTTTTTTACTCTAGACTGGTTTTAGGGTGAAATAGAACCAATTACCTAACCGATTCCTGAATCAACCAGTCTAACCGTCCAGTCCATTCCAATTTTCAAAACCATGTGAATGCTTGAGGAGTGAGGACTGAGCAAGGTGGTGATTGAGGAAGCTAGATTATATTGGTTTGTGGGGTGTGGCATGAAGAGATGGAAGTTGGAGGCCATGGGGACATTATGGAGTTCAAGCATGCATTTCATTTTCATGGAGCAGAGTTTTTAGAGTTAAATCAATCACAATTTCCTACTTTCATTCTTTGATTTTGTTTGGAGTTTGATGTAGTTTCATGCATCCTAAATCCATCGAAAATTTTCTTTTGAAATTGAATATGGTTATGTAAAACCCATTTTTTAAGTCGTGGGAAGAAGAGAATCAAATTGGTTAATTTTGACCCATGGGTTACCACGTACTGCATGCTACCACATTAAATTAATTATGTAGCTATTTTAAATTATGCCATAATACAACAATAATATAATATTAGGAGTTAAATATAATAACAACAACAACAATAATAATAATAATAATAATAATATCATGATAGAACATTACTATTATGCCCCTGTTTGATTTTACTTCTAAAAATACTTCTTTTAAGAGCTTAGACCACACATTAAGTGGTTATTAAGTGTTTGGTCAAAAAGTGGAGAATAAGTACTTTTGTTAAAATAAACATTTCTTAAAAAAGTGACTTGAAGTTAACTTTTTTTTTCAGCACTTCTTGGAGAAGTACTTATTCCAATAGAATGGGACGAACCAATCCCTTGTATTTTTTTAATACCCAAAATACCCCTGTGCAAGGGTTTTACCTCCCTCTCCTCTCATTTGAACATAGCGAATCAGCGGCACACCCAATTACAGGTCCACCAACGACGATTGGCAGTGAAGAAAAATGGTCAGCGGGCCTATCGTTTTGCCATTTTCTTACATTTTGTGAAGTTTTTCTTCATATTAAGCCATTTTTCTTGTGTTTTTTTTTTTTTTACTTTAAACTCCCATGTTTAAAATGTTCACAGGTCTGCAATTTGGAAGAGTTTAATGACGAAAGTCTCACCATCCAGCCACTAGCGTCAATGAGGTTAATTCGTCAAATTCCTCCCCTCCATGTGTGGTGTTTTTTCTTGTTTTTTTTTTGTATGATTATTTGTCTAATTTGAAAATATGTTGGCTTCATATGAGAAATCCTTTTTTTTTGTTAAAAATCATGCAAAAATATTTGTTGAAGTTTGATGAATATTTGGTTGCATTTTGAGTGAAGTGAGGGATAAAATTGTTATTTGTGTCAATATAAACACTTATGAGAAAAGTAGCTTATCAAACATCCCGACCCCAATAAGTGCTTAAAAACATAATAAGTGATTTGGTAAATGGGTCACTAAACAACCTTAAGTGGTTGTTAAAACAATTACTTCTTTAAAACAACCACTTATTCATCAAACAAGGCCTATAATTAATTACATAATCTTAATTTAAATCCATTTAAACTTAATTTAACTAAGTAATTGGTAAAAAATAATAAATATTTATACACATTTTAACTTGGAAATTATTAGAAGAAAGTTATATAATAATATAATACTAGTATTTAAATATGTTGTTCTAATTAACTATAATTAGTTATATAGTCTTTTAAAAATATATTAATTATTATAATTTAACATCATATTTAATTATAAATTAAAATCCATTTAAATCAGTTAACATTATTATATTAATAAAAAGTTAAAGTATGTAATAATCTACAATTTCATTTAATTGTAAGTTAAAATAGGTTTAACCTCCATTTTGAAAGACTTACATTAACAAAAATTAATTAATTCAATAGAGTTTAAATAATTTATCAAATTTAATTGATGTAAAAATGAAAGCAAATGAATAAATAACTTAAAATTCTATACAAATATAATATTAGGATAAAATATTTTATAATAATAGCTATAATGTTATAATAATTATAATATTTTCACTAGACTTGGACCAAGTTCGATCGATTAGGGGCATTCATGGTCCAGTTTGGAGAATATCTCAAACCAAAATAGTAAATTACAATTTGAAAATTTCTCAAACCAAACCAAACCAAACCATTTTTCTATAGAAACCAAACTAGACCAAACTATACTATCACAGTTTGGTCCAGTTTCTAATATGGGTTGGGCCATTCTTTTGGGCTTAACCCAGTTAGAGAGCAAACAAATAACATGCATACCTACATGAAATAAGAAATATAATTCAAATATCAAATTGAAAAGTTAATAAGCGTCACCTAGTAGCTATTACTATTATATATAAACTACATTCGCACTCAAACATAATCAGCTCCTTAACATGCAAATTACAAGTTAAAATTTGAATCAAACAACAATAATCTATGAAATGTTAAATGTATATATACCGATATACTTATATACATACATATACATATGTAATATGTTCAAATATATTTATTATATACATTAATAAATATATTTATTAATGATCTGGTTTAATATGATTTATGGTTTGGTTTGGCTTCTAAAATTTAAAAACCAAACAAAAAAATGCAATTTGAGTAATTCTCAATCCAAGCTAAACCATTTTTAAGGCCAAGTAAGGCCAAACCGCCAATTTTGATTTGATTTGGTTGTCTAGACCATATATCGAACATAGTCCGGAAGATTAGGTTTCTTTTCATTTTTTTTCTTCCACTTTTCTTTGTTTTTTATTTAGGTTGCATTTGTTCGAGATGTAAATTCAAATATTACACCATGGAAAAATGTGAACCGGTTTAATGATCGATACCGATTGATTTTGAAAATTTATACCAATCATGTTTGGTTTTCTATGGTGTAAAATTTCAAACTGGGTCTCAACGGAAAAAAGGTGAGCAAGCAATTTGCTTATGCAATGAATCTTACCGCTGCACAGTGAATCTTATGCAGTGCTTCAATGCGTATACTGACAAGATTTGCGTTGATATGCCACTTGCCGCCGTCGGAACTAGGTCTCGATGGAACTGATACGCCGCTCACCACTCACTGATAATGTCGAATCATAGTTCATTTATCGGTGAGGGGGATTTTAGGATTTGCGTTGATACGCCGCTCGTCGCTCACCTCTCACTGATACACCGGAGCTGGAGAAGATTTCAGGATTTACGTTATCTTCGTTGAGAGTTCTGTGTTCTTAGAAGAAGACAGTGAACAGGGCAGGTCATAGGTAGGAGAAGAGGGAATAGAAGAAGAAGGAGAAGAAAATAGAGAGAGAGAGAGGAAAAGGGATTTCGGCTGGAGGTGGGGAATGCGTTCATGACACTAGTTCACTATCTTCTTCGGTCGAACAAAGACATGCAGCTATTGGACAGAGGAGACGCGAGGTAACCGTTGGACATAGGAAGAGGAAGGTAAAGTTTTACAACGATTTTATGAATATAAACTTTCTACTTATTTTCGATGAATATACTGACAAGCATGGACTTTTATATCGATTGATGAGGTATATTAACACCTCTACCAAATACTGCAAAATCAAATCGGGGTGTAAAGTTTACCCCGATTCGATTTTATACCTCTACCAAACGCAGCAAAAATAAAATTAGTACAAGTTTATAACTTAATGGGAGACTTGCCATTTGGTCTTCTCCGCACACTTCAGTGATTTGTCATGCGAACACATGACGTGTTCGATTTTGATTTGTTATGCGAACATATGACGTGTTCGATTTTGATTAGAAGTGCACCCATGCCCACACCATTCGTAAGTCCAGGAGAATAGCTAAACGCCCTCAGCTGTTGTTGAGCGGGCTGTGGATACAATCAGAAGATTCTATGTTGGTTTTACACGTAATTGACAACTCTCATGTGCGGACATTACAAAACCCTTTCCCTCTCCCGTTCTCTTTCCCTCCCCTGTCGGTCCCTAATAAAAACGTCGCTATATATTAATTTTCAAGCAACGAAAAGTGAAGGCATATTTGCCGTTGGAGAAGAGATACACGAAAAACAAAAAAAAATCCAAAGAGCCCCGCTAAATGTTTTCTCCCGCGCAAACGAAACCAGTAACTTCTCTCGTCTTCCCTCAAACCGCACCAGCAAAAACCCTTTCAAAATCTTCTCTTTATTGATTCTAGGTTTCTAACCCTCTCTCCCATCGCATATTCGCATTTTCCTAATTTCTTCCGCAGCTGAGAAGCACCGAACTGAATTAAGAGGTAAGTCACGATTTCTTTCCCCCTTTCATCTTCTTCCTCTCATTCTCTCTCTCTCTCTCTCATTTGTTTCTTTTTATTCGTCCTTTTTTATGCAGCAGACCATCAAACCTTCTCTTTGCCGATTCTAGGTTTCCATCCCTCTCTCCCTCATCTCTTGCCACTCCTTCGGCAGCTGAGAACCGAACTGAACTCATCTCCGGCGAGGTAAGTCATCGATTTCTCTCTCCCCCTTTCGTTTTTTTTTCTCATTCTCTCCATTAAGCATGATGCCCACAACTGTATGTCCTGCCAGTAACCCCTCACAAGAAACCCTAGAATCTGTTAAGAGGCTCATTGATATTTTTTATAGATTTTTTTTTTCTGAAAAATTCAAAAAATAAGAATTGATTGCAGTAAGGAATACGTTCAGATGCTGTTTGTTTTTTTGCTTAAGACCACTTATGTTTGATCTGTAACATATTTCTGAAGACTATGGAAGTGTTCCTATATTTCTTTTGATCGTATATGAAAATTTGGCAACTTTTTCTTCCCTCTGTTTTGCTTCCTATCTTTATCAGTCCTTTTGAGTTGTTCTTGGTTGAATCGTGACTGGTTCGAGTAGATATAAATTTCAGAACATTATCACAACAATGCTGCCGATTGGTGATGATGTTGGAAGCATGGTTTCAGTCTCCGTTGATGTTTGAAGGGGCTGAAATTCTGTTTATTGCTTTGTGTTTGCTGCCAGAGTGTTTTGATTCAAAGGACTAGGAAAGGATCTTTTTTTGTGTCCCAGAAGATGTGTTTTTTGTGGGACTGTTATGTTTTGTCAGTGAATTGTAGATGGTGTTTTGAGTTTAGTATTTTATATGACTGCCCCCTTTGATCCTATATTTTTGTCTTTTGGCGTCATGGGGCTACACAATGGGGGGTAGCCCATCCCCCATTCCTTTACCCCCTAACTGGTGGCAGTGGGATTTGATCCCAGGTATCTGCTACAACTAGTCAGAGATCCTACCAACTGAGCCACCATCAGCTGGTCCTCTTTGATTCTATAGCTGGTTCAAGTAGTCAGTAGTGTTATTGGAATTTAAGAAGGTTCTAACATTCAGTCACTAAGTTATGTTGGATGGAAATAACTTTTTAGAGTGGTCTTAATCTGCCAAGTCGTCTAATGAAGGCAAAGGAAAACTAGGATATCTTACAGTAAAACTTACTGTTATGTCCTGGCTAATATGTTTTATGTAGTAGCATATGGCCAGGAATTACATGCTCTTGTGAACTTCCAAGGAGATATGGGATAGAGGTCATGCCACTTATTCTCAACCCCAAAATGCTGCCATTGTTAGAGTCTATAAACTAGGAGGGAGACTTGTAATATGCAGCAGGGAGAGACTAGAGAGGTTTATTGTTGTATATTTCTCCTCATTATGGGTTGTTTGGGAGGAGAGTGATCATTTGGAGGCACTAGAGTTGAGGGATCCACTTGATGCTAAGTAGTGTAGGAAATCAAATATTTGATTTCTCATGGCTGGGCTGAATATGTTGTGTTGGCTAAGTAACATGTTTGAACAATTGAACTCCTGGCTGGGATGAATGCTAATTGTGATTTTACCAAACAACACATTCTAAGCTGATATTCTCATTCCTACTCCTCAAATGTAGGAATGTGCCCCTCAGAGAACCATTTGGCTTCAACAAATTAAGTAGGATCTAACCAGAGCTTTCATCTGTCATAAGATCAAAATTAACATTATATGTGAGTTTATGTTTTTGAAAGAAGTTATATATATATATATATATATATATATATATATATATATAACCATATCCTTAATTTCTTCCATCCCTAATCCCAGGATGCATGAATTTAATCACAGAGGTAGAGCCATGTATGACTTACTGCTTCTTTTGCATAGGAGACGCAATATGATCTTTCTTCCTTTCTCATCTGTTCCTCAATTTCCTTGTAAACATCTAACTATCTAAGAGTGCAAGATATACCACTTTCATATATTCTGGTAGCTGATCAGTTTCACCAATATCCCACCTAAATACATGAATTTAGAATGATGGGAATGTCAAAGCAGAAACTCTGCAGTGACAATTTTACAAAATCCATCCAGTATGTGGTATTTACTTGAAATTAAATCCAACTTGTTACCTAAAGTTTCATACAGTAGTCAATAGATATTAGAGATGTATTGATATCAAACCTTTCCATTGCATCTGTAAAGAGCTGTAGTTCTTCAAATGTACCATGTGCATCATAAGTATCATCTAGTATTGAAGTCATTGCTATTACTTTGGTTAGAATCATCCGACCAAGAGAGTACTAAGGTTCTGGATACACTCCCATCATCCAAAAATAACACTCTACCACTCTGTTTCTAGCATATGGTATCTTTGATCCGAATTCTAAATCTTTCCATCACCTTTAATAAAAATAGATATAAACAAGCCTGAATTAGCTGAAACTTAATTACCTTGAGGGAGTAGACTGTGGAGGGGGAACAGTGAAAGAAATTAACTCACTCACCTTGATATTTGGCTTACCTCTGTGAGATGTAACGACTGTAATCGATTGAAGATTCAAGCCATAAACATTTTGTTGGTGGGTCTCTTCCATGTCTCTAGCAAGAGAATGTCATAACTATACATGTCTCTTGGGTAAATGCCTTAGCACCCAAACCATACTCTTTAAATTAAACATTTTGGTCAATTTTTCTACAAGGAAAAATTATCATAAAGCAAAATAATTTTTATAACTATTTAAGCCCTAGATAAAAAAAACTCCTTAAAACAAAGAAGAAACACTTTTGACAAACCAGTTTATGAGTCCATAGCTCTTTCCTGTTTAGTTGGTTCAACATAGCATTTGAATTAAACTAAACCCAACCTCATCCAATATAGAAACACAAGACAGAGATGGCAATCATGGATAGGTTGTTTAAAGAAAAAGAGGCGAGTGTTAACATTATAGGCAACATTTCATTAGTTTCTTTTTGTTTGGGATCTCACGGTGTACCTGCAAAAGGTCATTCAGTTGATAAATAAATGAGATAATGGCTTTGTCTCAAGGATACCTCCTTTTGCCATTTATCTTTCAATGGCAGTATATGTAGATGAATTCATCTTGGCTACAAAGTGACACATAGAAAATGAGTTTTATTATTCCTGGTCATATATCAGAGGGATTTTTTTAGAAAAAAATGAGAAGTCTATTGGAAGAAGTTCTAAAAGATTTTTGTTACTAAGATTTCCCTTCCAATGGGATTTCCACAGTTTTTTTCCTGTTCACTTGGCCATGTGCATGCTCTTTTGTGGGGATTTTTTGCATTCTTTTCTGGCTCTATATGATATGTGCAGTAATTGTGAATATATCCTAGTAGACCTGTTCAAGGGCTGGACTCGGGCTTGGTTTTTGCCAAAATTTGAATGGGCCTAGTGCAAAGATTGAGCCAAAAACAGTGTAAATCCAAGCCCGAAGCCTGGTCCATGATTAGGTCTATATATTAGGGCCAGTAACCCAGGCATTTCACATGCATAAATACATATATGAAGCATATGTACCTTTTTTGCAGTAGATCTAATTGCATTGATAACTAAATCTAAATTTTTTTCTTTGATTTGTAATAAACAATATTTTATTTAGTATATGTACGAAGGATATTTATAGAGGACATTAAACTTGAGAAAGGTCTTTATAGCTTACCACACTCCACACCCAAAACAACATCCTGCTGAAATACAAAACCACTTGGTCAAAACCATTAATATATCCTTCAAGGATATAATCTAATCCATCAAAAAATCATTTACACCATATAAACAGTCTTTAATTATTTTAAAAATTTCTGTTGGGCTAAAAAGATTGTTGTTATTTATCTAACGACCTTGCTAAACAGGCACAATAAATAATTAGTGTAATACCTTTGAATCCCTAAAGCGAAGGAACCAATTTAATATTCTTGGAATTGCATCAATCAGTGTTTTGTTTATTTCTTCCTCGTTTACTGCACAAACCACATTAGATGAGGGAGATTAAAACTTCTGATAACAAACATCTAGGATCTTGTAGCTGCCAATTCATTTAGTTGGCAAGGATTTGTATTCAACAACAAGAAAAGGGAAACTATATCTCTATAATGGTTTAAAAGATATCAACCTCCACATGCATACAAGTTGTCATTGTTTTTCTGGAGTATTGCCCTTGCATATTCCTCCAAAAAATCTTTTGTAGGTAACTCTCTTAGAAGTCCAGCCTACAAGAAGAAAGAAATGCCATAAAGCATAAAGAGATGTAAACCAAATTATCCTTTTGTCTAGGGATCTCAATGGGACAGATTCAATATAGGCTCACCTTATCCTATTCCTAATGCTAAGGCACCCACTACCAATCTCATGACCCAACTTGATGAAATATAATTACTAAATGTGCGTTGGTCTTGTATCAAACAACCATCATGGGAAAAGGAACAATGTTACCATCCTCAACTAGCTGATCGATTGAGATCAAATTTGTTGTAAGTTTAGGAACAAAGAAAGTTTTAGGTAGATGAAAGCAAGAATTGACAAATGTAGTCAAAGACAAATCATTGCAACCAACAATATCCAATTTCTCTCCATTATCAGTAATAATATGTTTATTCAAGGATTTGGGTTTAATGGACTGACCAGTGTGTGCCCCTGTCATATGGTTAGAGGCCTCAGAATCAATGATCCATAAGTGACTGGGAGAGGAACAATAACAGGATGACCACCCGAAAGACCGGTGGTTGAAAATGCAGAGGAAATAGCTGAGGATACTAGTTGCCACATTCTTTCTTTTGTAAGAGTCCTAGAATTTTCTTCCATTCCTGCTGAAGCTGTACTCCTTGTATCAACACCTTCAGTTGCCATTTGGAAAGCTGCTGACTCTTCTTAGAACTTGAACCATTCCCCTTTGCTGGCCGGGTAGGACAATCAGGAATAATATGCCCATGTTGTTTGTAGTAGGTACAAAATTTTTTCTTCCGATAGTGTGAGACAACAAGTCCATATTCCTTGCATTCATAGCACTAAACACGGGACAAGTCCTTCTTGGGCTTGGATTTATTCATCAGAAAGGTTGTCTTTGTTCCATAATCAGATTTCGACCTGAAGGTTGATTGAGTAATGAATCTAGTTTCCTCCTTGAGAAGCTCTCCCAAAACTGTGTCAAGTGTGGGAGGAGTGCCCCTACT